AGGCAGGCAGGCCGGCTCGCCAGGCTTCACCGGGCTTTTGCCTCCCACCGTGAAAATACGGTCCTGAATTATCCCGAGTAGTGGCTGTGCGTGTGCCTTTCACCGGGTTCCTTGAATGACTGAGATCAGGATGTCCAGCGATCCCGACGTGTCTGTCTGACTCCCACCGAAATGCTTAGAGGCCTTTGAGGATCAGGGAGCGCTGTAACAGCCCGCTGTTAAGCTGCCCCTTGTTCATCTGCAGTGGGAAAAAGCCCAGACTTTGGCAGTGGGTTTTGAGTAGCTGTGGGGCTGAATAAATTATGCAAAACCGAACGAATATGCTCCTTATTCTGAGGGACAAACCAGATTCTCCTGCGAAGCAGGTGCTACTACTGCCACCACCCTGGGTATGCCACCACCTTCTTATTTTATTGTGGCATTGGGATTTTAACTGAGTTCCAGAACAGCCGCCCGGATGGGGCCAGAGCTGGGGGCTCCGTGTAGGCAGCGGGTACACCCTGCCCATGCCAGCGTCCACTCCATCCCCCTTCCAAAGAAGCCCATCCGGTACATTCAAGCTCTGTCTTGAAACCACTGTGCATCAGCCACCTCTCCTGACACCCGTGTAATAAACGACATTTTTAAAGCAGGTGACTGTGTTTAGTGCCACAGCAACGTGAGGATATTGCAGAGGACATGAATGCTCATAACTGTGATCTATTGTACTGATTTAATTTCTTCTGCTTGCCACACAGAAATGTGTGCATGTGCTCCCCAACACCCCCAAAAAACAAGCAAAAGTAAGGCCAGGGCAGTATGATTTAAGTTTACAAAAGCCGGACTTTGCTTGATGCTTGTTCCCTTATTTTATACCAAAGCAGAATTCAGATCATTGTCGCTTTGAAGCTAGTGCTGTGCTTGAACCTCACATGTACCCGCTTTGCCAGAGAACGAAACTAGCAATGTTCTTCCAAAAGTGTTGCAACTGAATGTCTCTAGCTTCTCTGTTAGGCCTCAAGGGAACACTTTCAGATATTGCCATGTATTTCTGTTCCTTTTTGCATACAGTCACATCAACTTTTTAAAGACCTACTGAAGACTTTCTGCTGGGCTGCTTGAACGTGCCACACCTGAACTATTTAAAATAGCTTTCTTTCACTTTCTTTTTTTGCACACCTGTGTACCAATATAGTTAGTATATATATTTATTTATCCAGTTGACTACTGTCTTTTTATTGAAACAATCACAAATAATTCCTTCATATTTTCAAGGGCTAAAGCCAGAAGTACAGAAGTAAGTAGAAGTTGAGTTTAATTTGGGGCAGGTATTTTTTGATGCTTGGCTGTTAAACTGAGGATAGTTGCACTTTTTTTTTTTTTTTAAATTCACAAGCAGAAAACTCATAAAAATTTATAGTTGAAAATTGTCCTGTAACATAACACTATGAATAGCTTTAGGGTAAATAAGAATTTCTAAGCCTTATTGTTGGGAAGTTCCTGTTTAAAAGAAAGAAGAATAAGAAATAGGCTTGTTATAGTAGAAAAATAATTAATTAGAAAGTACATGTGAATTTAATCTTATTTGTCAAATGCCAGTGAGGACTTGTAAATGGGAACTTCTATGTTATTGCAAAGTGATGCAGTTTATGTTCTTTTATTCAAGAGAACCACAAGGATAAGTAGGAGAATCAAAAATTTCATTCTGATCCTGTTTTATAAAGGACTTACTGTAACCTAAGTGAATGCTATTCGTTTGTATGAATTCTGAAGCAGTTTCCATCCACTTCCTGCGACCTTCTGCATGACACAAAATGTGCAATTTGATGAGAACGCATAAGTAAGCAATACTGACAGGGGTTCTTAGTGGGTATTTATAGTACTTATGCCATTTCAAGCACTTAAATTGTTTCATTTTATGTTAAAATCCTTTTGAACAAAACCATGCCAGACAGTTCATTGCTACAAAATGTTTAAAAAGTGGCAGCCACCCGAATGTTCTGAAAATGAGGATGGGAAAATAGGCTTCCCAGGCCTTCTGCAGCAGTGTTTTTGGAGCAAGATTTGCCTCTAATTAAAAACCTTGCCAAGGGGGATATTTATAATCTCCTGTTTCTATGGAAATGAAGAACATAACTAAGTAACTTTTGTCTTTTGTCTAGTTTCAAGGCTTGTGTAAGTCAGGGGGAAAGCTTTCATTGATTCCAGTGATCTCATGAGTTGTGCTCTTTATGTTCGGTAGTAGTTACCAACAAATAACTTCTTTTTGATACAGAAACTGTTGGACAGAGTTAAGAAAACACGACAGTCGAGGTGTCTGTAGCTGTCAATGAATATGCAAAAAACCCTCAACCAAACAAAAATCCATGAAGCAGAACACTGTTTCAGTACAGCATGAGGCCAGGGCTGTGCCTAAGTTCAAGGAGACTAGATGGGGAGGAACAGCTTAGCATCAAATATGTTGTGTTAGGCTAGATATTTTTGAGACATGGTTTATTGCTTCACCACATGCCATCGTAAGCAGAGGTTAGTTTCAGCGGTGGTCCTTTAAAGGCTATATTTAGCAGTAATGCCATTAAGACATGCACTTTGCAAAGGCAAGTTTCTCACCGTTTATCCTTCTGCTCAAGGTTCATGTGGCCGATCTGTAGAAAGAAGAAAGGCAGTATGTGACTCGAGGAACACAATTCTAAAGAAAACCTGTTAGGTGTCGCTTTTTATCCTGAACCAATGCTGAAGCAAAGCTTTGTAATGATTCTGAGATACTTTGTGAACCTGCAGGTCTTGTCTTTCATAAGGAATTATGAAAATTGCTGGTTTGGAATTTGTTTGGTTCTTGTGCTGTTGACTTTGCATCTTAATAACTTTCTGAAGCCTTCACCTGTTGGCTGATTTGCCCTGCTTAATCTCTACTGCCATTGTACGCTGTGGGATCTCCTAATGCTCTAGTATACTGATATTTATGGAACTAGCATATATTAAATCTGTAAAATATTTTTGCTGTGAATGTATTTCAGCAGATTTACAGACTAGTTGATAGTGTAGTGAGATGTTAACATTGTGTAATCAGTTACCTTTGATGACTTATCTAAATTAAGAACCTCACCTTTGGCAAGAACTACAGTCTTCCTACTGATTTGTACAGATACCATCCATGAACCACATGATTTATTCTCCCTATGTGCTGTTTCACCTGTAGAATATTTATTTATTTATGTGTGACTTTAAAATTCCTGTAAACCAGAAATGTACGATTTTAATACAATTTTATGAATTTTAATCCCGCTGTCTGAATCTCCCATTGGAGAATCCCTTCTTACTGGTAATCTTACATTTGCATTTCAAGTTTGAAAGTAATAAGAAACTTAGACTTGTCACTAGTTTAGTATTAAATATTTCCTCTTTCTAGCTAGTTGTTTGTAATTTCAGGTGAAATTTCCCACATTCTGTGGGAAAAAAACTGTAGTGTTTGATTTCTGAGATATACTGAGAAGCAAAATTATTAATAGGAAAAGTGAAATAGTAGATTATAACTGGAAGAGAGTATGTCATATGATTAATTCAGCCAATAGAGTGTACTAGAACAGTGATTTTATATCAGTTACACATTGTCAAACACCATGAAGTATTCTTAACAGTACTATTTGATATGCAGATTTCAGACAATTGGCCCGGATACAGTCTGGATTTGTTCACTTATCCTCAGCACTACTACGGAGATCTGGAATATGTGCTCATACCTCACGGCATTATTGTTGACAGGTACATGCAGTTTGAATGTTGCTAAATAAATTCTTTGGTCAGTAGTAGTATTCTTGTCATCCACGGGCAGGGTGTATATAACATTTGTCCTAAAATATTATATTAGCAATTATAAAAAGACCTTTATTTATTTAATTTGGAAAGTAAATAAATGCTTGATGATTAGGAAATGCTAGATGTGTAGTTGCCTTTGCAACTCACTGTCTAATTTCTTTCACCTGGTTTCTGATTTGGGCATTGAATGAGACAGGGGTCCCACAAAAAGGAGAATGTGATCATACAGTGAAATTGGCGTTGGAATGTAAATTACAAGAGAGCTGAACTGAAGGTGAAAGGGCAAATACCAGGCTTTGTATATAGTTGTACTTTAATGTCCCACTTGCACTCTAACCATCCTGTCGTTTTAATACAAAAAGGAGAAAAAACTATGTTCAATTATGTACAACTTTGGCAACTCCCTAGTACAAATCATTGATGCCAGTTAACCTAATGGTTCCAGTTCCTGACTGCACTGTTGACTTCTGCCGTTCAGCACAACCAAAAAGTGTGTCATGGGCTGTTTGGGTGCAGATGCCAGGTTTGGACGGTGGCAGTGGGAAAGCTTGATCATCCCTCATTCCTTACTTCGTAGTAGTTCCCATGTGCTCTCAGTGTAGGCATCTGATGGTGCTTTGGTATTTGTGGTAGTCCAGCTCAGTGTTCGCGCTCGGTTACTCTTTTGATATGCTGTTAAAAATCTTAGGAAGAAGTTACAAAATGGAAGTGGTAATTTTCAGCAGTGTATTTAATGGGAACATCTGAATGGAATTTTATGAGACATTTTCAGCCTGCAGCTTTCTACCTACCACATTTGAACAGCCGTTTGCAAGTACTGAAATTGTTGGAACTCCTTGAAAGAAGCTGGTAAATATCCATCATAAGGAAGAGTTATGACTCCTGTATTTGTTTGTTCCTTAAGAGTCAACTGGCTTTCAATTCCTCTTTTTTAAATAAATACGTTACAGCTTCAGTTCTCATAGCATTCAATATAAATTTGTTTGAAGTAAGCATTGAACTCCAGTGTTGTTTTTGTACTCCAGCAGAATGAACTCCACTGTTTTTTCTTACTCCAGCAGAAAAGACTGATTCTGTTCTAATGGAAAAGGATGCAGAACTGAATATATTCTGATCATGCAAAATTTTCATGTAGGAAGAAAGCTCCACACTTGAGAAGTTTCTCTTGTCAGTTGGTAGCAATTGAATATAGGTTCAACTGATATGTTTTTATTTAGAAATTGAGATCAGTACATTTTTGTCTATGCTGGAGTACATACTATTTTAAAATACAAAATAGTCTTGGAATTTTTGGAAATTTTAGCTCCTCGAACAACCTGAGAAAGAATAAAAAGAAAATTAAAATCACCAGAGAAATGTTTCTTCTTAATGAGAGGTTTTCCTCATTATTCTCAGACTTGATAAAAGAAGATAAAAGGCTATTTTACTATTCTTAAGTAAAATAAGTGAAAGTCTTTTACTAATCTTCATTCTTATATCACTAAAAGGAATTATGTGTTTGAGATCAAAGAAGGCAATCTAATGTTATCTTCTATTTTTCAAATCTAAAAAATACTAATTACTGCTATGTGGAATTTACTTGGGCATTATAAATACAAAGATGTGAAAACGAAGTGACAGCTTTTGCTCACAACTGGTATATTACCTTCAATTTAGAGCTTATTCTTCTCTGGTACATGCACACGTGTACATTTCACTAAAGTTCAATGCATTTATGTAGTGGCAAATGGATTCCCATGTTACAATGGGTAGAGAAAAAAACAATACGAAAAATGTAATCATGAAAGATGTGGGATAAATTATAGGATTATTTAATAAATTGCATCTTGGCAAGAAGTTCTCATTGAAACTACTAATCTAATTCAGAGAGCTATCAAAGAACTTTCCAGTGAACGTTTTTACAGGAAGTAATGCATTAAACTGGTTTTCCTAAAACATCGACAACATTGTTCAGTTTTCTCTTGATACCTGCTTTACACCTAGAAATGACCTAGTACCCTGTTTTAGGTCTAGAAATGCCATCTACCTTCTTCTTTAGAAAGCAAAGCAATTAAGATAAGGATTCATGTTTATTATTTTTATGTAGAAAATTTATGTACTACTGTATGGAAGAAATGTGTATCTTTTGGTTTCAATCATCTGCCATCTGCATTTGCAATGCGGAATTGTCCAAGGGAAGAGAGATATGGGAACGCTGCGATTCCAGGTTCATTGGAGCATAACCTTGATTATTCTCCTCTGTGTGACCTTGAACAAGTCACTTAAGCTCTTCTTTTTTGCTGTATGAAATAGTGATAATGTACACTCTATAAATTTTTAAGTGATGCTGTATTTCTTTATAGTATTTGTTTATATTTTTATTAAAATTACAGGGGTAGCATCTTCAAAGCCTATCAGTGTGAAATATTTCTAATAATTCTTTTCCCTAATAATTCTTTCACTTCATTTATTGTTCTTGCGTGCTAACATAATAAGTTAGTGGATTGTACAGGAATTTTTTATATTGATGTTTCCTGTGAGGTAAAACTGAAGGCTAAGTTGTATTCTTTACTTCAAAGTCTCTGAAATGCTTATGAATTCAACATATGCTGACATGTGTTACTCCCTTTTCTGTAACTGGGGAATTTATGCATTTAAGATTAACCAGTTTGATTCACATGCTTTGCATGTTACATCCGTCACTGTCTCTCTGTCTACGGTGAACTTGATCCAAACCCGGTCAAGCCGAGACACTTAAACAGCCTGTCAGTCAAGCTGTATATTCACCATGATGTTTCTTTTTAACTACATGGAAAGCATACCATGAACTTAGAGAATCTGCATCTAATGTTATTTTATCCTTGATTTTTTTGCCCCAGGACAGAACGATTGGCCAAAGATATTATGCAAGACATTGGAGACAATGATATTGTGGTTCTCTGTGTTCTCAAAGGTGGCTACAAGTTCTGTGCTGATCTTGTGGAGCACGTTAAAAATCTCAGCAGAAATTCAGAAAGGTTCATCTCCATGAAAGTCGATTTTGTTAGACTGAAAAGTTACCACGTAAGTCAACAACTTATTTATGTAGATTCTGGTTATATGTTCATACTAAATAGTGGACTTTTTGTAAATGGGAATTTTTTTTTCCCCAAAATTGTAAGAAAAACAGTGTGAAAAGTATTTTTGTTTGAAAAACCTGTGAAGTTTTCTTTTAAAATGTTTGCTTATGTCCCTTTATACTTCGTGGATAGTATGAATGAGGATATGAAGCATCGTCAAACTGTATTTTTTTATTTAGTCTGTCTTTACTTTTTGACAGAAGATTATTCGTTTCCGTCATGTAAAATGTCGGATGTTGTTTGTTCTCAAAATCCTCAACAGTTCTGTCAAGTTATTTCATGTTACTTCATTTTCCACCCCCACCTCAACATAGTTTGGCATAACTGCAAGATGATAAGTCTATGTCTTATTCTAAATGTTTAAAGCTAAGTAAATGAAATGCTTTTATCTTCATAACATGCAGTTTACATAGAGGCAGAATATACCAGATGATTATAGTGTTTTATAGGAAAATGAAATAAACCATTGAACCAAATCTGCTGTTGAAGTACGGATCAAGACTTCCTGTTATCTTCAGAGGAAATTATGCAATAATGATTCGTTTGTTTCAGTGAGGCAATGATAGTGAGATGACTGCCCTTTTTTTAGAATGCATGATTACAATTTCTATTCGCATAACCTGTACATTTATAGTCCACCTTGTAGTGCACGCTGCATAAAGATGGAGCATTTCTAGAAGTAAGTTGTCCTAGAAATGTCTGAGGAACTACACTAAATAAATGGAGTGATAATACAGTTTCTCTCTGAGCACAGATGCAACTTGCTGAGTCCAACATTTCCTATAATAACTCTATGTCCTTTCCACAGACAGAGTTTGGCTGGCTGGCATTTTGCTCTGACCCCAGTGATTATAGACTTTTCTTAACTTTCACAAATCCAGTCTGAATTTTTTCCATCATGGAAGAGAAGTGGATGAGAGCCTTTTGTAGCCATTTGGTTAGGATTTAGTCGTGGGACTTCTTTTTCAAGAATTAGTCAGGCCTATGAAGGACATGTGCAATATTAATATATATAATTTCTAGCTATTTAGCACTATTACGGAACTAATTAGCAAACTAAAATATAATGTTTGTCTCAGTGTCCTGGTTTGGCTAGGACAGAATCACAGCCTAGGCAGGCCGTCAGCAGTTTGGAGTCAGCCAGGGGAGCTGACCTGAGTGAGCTACAGGGGTAGCCCATCCCATCAAGTCATGGTCATTATAAAGGAGGAAGGTTTGCTGAGGGAGAGGAGTTCTGGCTGAGGTTCCTTCTGTTTCTCCTTGTTCCTTCTCCTCTTGCTCCTGAGGACTGTGATGGCTGAACATTCTAGGCTGAGTATAGCTTTGTGTACTTTATTTGTTTTGCTGTTTCATTTAATCTGTCTTTGCTTCAATCTTTGGGTCTCCTCTCCTTTTCCCGATTCCCCTTCTCAACTGGGGAGGGGTCATCAGGTGATAGAGTTACTGCTATAGTTTAGCCTCAGGTACAGGCTAAACAAAGATTCTCGCATAAAGGCGCATGGAAATTATACTTAAACTTTTTTGGTGTAGTAATGATAGCACTTCAATAATACTGTTTGGCGAGTAGTGGAATTACTTAAATCAGCTTTTATGTTGTACCTGGCATATAGGTAATGCACATGCCTTTCCGATTGGGTTATCTCTTATCCAGTGTGAGGATACCCTGGTTCTAAAACTTCTTTCCTTGGTGACAAGTCAACTCTTATTAGCCACACTAACCCATAACCAGTGAGTGGCAGGAGATGTATACCACACAAGCATGGAAATCTTCACATAATTGCTTAAGAAGTGAAATAAAAGCGTGTTATGTCAAGCTGAAATGGCAATACCCGTATTGTTATGCAAGGATGCAATTATCAAGGCTAAGTCCTAGATGATCCTAGCACTTAGTGGCTGTACATGTTTTGGATCTTAGCTTCATGCTTTAGCAGGAAGGTAGCACCTTCTCTAGAACTAGTGCTTGCATCTAGTTTTTAGAAAATAAATCCTTTTTTTTTTTTTTTTTCTTGTAAGTGCTTCCAAACAGGTTTCCTGTATTTAGAGGCTGAAGCTGTGCTTGATTTAGTGCTTGGAACAGAGCTTGATGTCTGCCTGGTCTTGAGAAGATGAATGATACTGCAGTATATATTTGAAATTACAGTAGTAATGGTAGATTCATTCCGTGAGATATGCATAAACGTAATGCTGACTAGAGTACCAGTACCACTACCTGCAGTCCTTTGTGTTTTGAGTTATTGTTGTGTCCTGTCCAATTGCAGGTTTTAGAGAATGTGCCTTTGTCAACATAGCCGTGGTCAGAACACTTGAGGAACTTGCTGTTACTAGTTTGAGTGACTCTTTATCCCAGCCATATGAGACTCTGAAATCCCCCATATCAGTTTATTCTGTAATAACATACCTCTCACAGTGTTTTACGTTTTAACTGGAGGCGAATAATTATAGTTTTAGAGGTAAGACTCTACATGAAGTCTTTTGGTTCCACTCCTTTGCTTCCCTTTGCCTTTTCTGTTCCACTTTCTATTAAGATTTGTTACTGTTCTCTCTTTTTATCCCTTTTTCACTTTATAGATGCTGTTCCTCTCACATTATTTGTCCTACTTCCTTTTACTAACTGTTCTCTGTTTCTCTCCTAAAGGGAGTCCTGCTGCTCTCAATATACTTCCTTCAGCTATGTCTCCCTTCCCCCCTCCAGCTGTTCAAATCCAACAACTAATTTCAGCTCAAACTCATGGAATTCTTGAGTTGTCTCATTCAAGCTTCAATACTGGAAGGTTAGTTGATTTTTAGAGGTTGCAATTTAAAGTGGGTTTTCTTGGTTTAATCGTGCAGCAAAAATGGGTGTTAACTGTGACCCGGAGTCAGACCTTGCTATCAGTGAAAGCACATCTTAACTGCAAAGTATCAGTGGAAATGTTGTACTTTCATGTCTGGGATATTGCAAGGAGATTGTAAATATGACCAGCTTTACATGGCTCCTCTTGTTTTTCAAACCTGTTATTGTATTCTAGAATTTAGTCACTGTTAAGATCTGCTTCATATTAAGTAGCTGAAAGTTGGGCATGTAAATTCTTTTTTAGGCTTCTTGATACAAACAAATTGATTTTAAAAAAACCCAAACCATAGTACATTTAGATTCTCTGGACATTAATGAGATGAGTGGCTGCTTGTACTTCCATAATCAGGATGGTTTTATCTCGTTTGCAGAGTATTGACATATGTGCCTAAGGCTGGGCATTTTAATGAGAAACTTCCCTGTGTTTTACAAGTGGTGTCTTATTTCATAATCTCAAATTGGCATATGAGATTACTGAATTTAGTATATATACGGGTAATGTGGGAAAATACCATTTGATTATTATTTTAGGGGAAACAAAGTAGAATCCAATTTAGGAAACCATAGCCTAAAAATAATGTGGTTAGACTGTCTAGTCTCTACAGAGACCAATATTTGTTCTTAGACCTTCAATAGAATTCCTGCAGCTGAAACTGGAGGTGCTGCCTTGTCTGAAAGCATATTTTTATTTCCTGAAAAATCGAACTGTATTTTTGCATTTCTTTAGGGTTTTTTTTTCATTAGAATGCTAAAATGATTCAGTAGAGCACGTTAAGGCATTTCCACATGTGGACAGAAACTTGTAGGCTCAGGTGTAGATCAATAAAAAGATGAGGTGTGTTTATTTGTAAACAAAGTTTTATATCTGTAAAATGAGAAATACATGATTTGCGAAGGAACACTCGATAGCATTGTTATAACCCAGATTTTTAGTGCTTCTTAATCAATAAGAATGCTACTAAAAATAATTATGAAATGGAAGAGATTCGTGACTGGAAGATAATGCGGATAGTCCTCATCTGTAGAAATACGATTTTTTAGAGAATGCCATTTCTTGTAGACTTACAGGTGATATGACATACTTGTTCTCATTTGAAACGTGTATTTAAATAAGCTCAAAATAAGACGATTGAGTGGGGATTTGATTAGAGGCTGTATAATGACTTTACAAGCTTCTGGCACAGTGGGCAAATCAGAGCACCAAGGTGAGAGTTAGAAAATACGATTTCGGAAATAAACAGATATGGAAGTATCCTGTAGACTTAAGGGTAAGGGTCAGGAAGTAGATGAAGAGGAAAATAAAACCTAATGACATAAAGTTGAATGAGAAGCAGCAGGTCTCAGTTTTAAGAGGCGGAGAAGAGAAAACACTTTTTTTGAATGAACTGAAGAATAGTGAGGCAATAAGTATAGTGGATAGACAAGGAAGCACTGCAATAGTTCTCAAGTGAAATATGATGCAGGTATGGAAAGCTGCATGCCAAGTTTTAGGGGAAAACAATGTATTCTGGAAACACAGATGTAAGAACTGATAAAATTTGGCAGCTGCTTAGATATTAAGTTCGAAGACATTTCAGTATGTTAGAAACAGTGGAATTAACTGCAGAGATTTTTGAGTTTAAAACTGAATGAATAAAGTTTAATATATTCGGGTTTCACCATACTGTTTTTTTTTTTTTCCCTGAGTGATTGCTCCTCCACAGGGAATTAGAGCTCTGAAGTTGAAAAGAGGTGAGAGTTTCAGATGCATAGAAGAATTCAAAATTATTTTCAGAAACATGATAGGTTGAGGTCAAGGATGAAAAGTAGTGGAGGAAGAAGTTTGGCTCGGGAATGTTATCGAAAGAGAATGACACCAACAGGAGAGATAAGAAACATGGATCCAGAAATTCTTTGATATGTTTGTGGTATTGGTAACTTCAGCAGATTAAAGAACTACTTTCCAGAGGGAAGTACAACAGAGGAAGCAGGCAGGTGTTTTACTAGAGTATTTACAAATTGATGGGTAGGACTAGACAAGAAATGTTTGAGGATGAACCAAAAGAAAATGAACCTAGGAACAGAAGGATGTGGATGTCATGAAGAGAAGGGCTGAATGGGATATATTTTAG